GGGGCAGGGGCAGGGGCCACGGGCACTTATTTCTGCTTTCTTTTAAACCTTTCCATTTTTTTTAGCTTGTATTAGAAATACCATGGTGCCTTTCACAGCCTGTGCCAGACAGAACAGCACAGCAGCTTTAATGGGTGCTATTATCTTTCTTGAGTATGTCTGGGACAAGAATTATTCAGTTGATACTTGGAGTGGCAATGTCTTGAACTGCACAAAGAAAATTAGAAAATTGAAGCTGCCGACCTCTCTTGGGAATTTCTGAAAGTGCCAGTAATGGTAGTAGGAGCTTAACTTTTCCAAGGGCCCTCAAACCCTATGAGCAGGATAGGACAAACCTATGAGGGGTTGATTCATCAGAGTACTGGAGTAAAGTGACTTCAGCGGGGCTTCAGGATGTGTTTAGAGTTAAGTATATGTTTAGGTGAATTGTTAACCTCAAGTGTGTGATCAAGTGCTTTGCTGACTCAGGGACGAGACTTTCCTTACAGCTTGTTGTTTTCCACTTTGCCATCTGGGAAGAGGCAGCTTGACAGCACGTGGGCTGTGTGAGACATTATTACATTTCTGAAAGGGTATTAACAACCTTGAAGTTTCCCGGTTCTCTGAATCAGGAATTTTTGTCTCTACAGACCTAACTGGGGTAGAACAGCCTCACTATAATGTTTGAAAGCAAACTGACCATGCCACGGCATTTGCTAGGTTATCAGTCAACCTATGCCAAATTAAAATAATCTTACGTTTTAGTGGAACTACTAAAGATGCAGGTGGAAAGCTTTACAGAACCTGCAGGTTTGAGGTGTGAACTTGCCCCTTTCAGGGATTTTAGGAAGTCTCTTTTGCACCTGGACAACTGTAAGAACCCAAATTTGCAAACACTTTTAATTTCAGAGTCATCTCTTCACTATGCCCATTTTCTGACCCAGGGGAACACATCCATATTTATATGAAATAAATGTTGTTACAGGCTGTTAAGACAACTCAACCTCATGGTGCAGCCAGGTAGTGCAAAAGAGTGGGTAATACAGACCTGTTATTGCATTTGTGGGAGAAGTACAAGCTATCTTGATCCCTTGGTGTCCTCCAAATGATTTTAACTTCCCCAAAATACTAGGGATTCACCTAAAAAATCTCTCTCACTCCTTGATCTGGTCAGTACACACCCCTTCTTCTCTAATCCAATACCCTTCCACTCTGCCATGTAACACTCAACCTGAAAGCCATTTCTGTACTGTTGTGCTGCTTTGCATTTTTCATAAATGTTTACAGAAGAATAAATGTTTATTGTAACAAAATGCGTTTCTCTATGGGACTCTTCTTTTTTATTATTCTTTTCCAGTGACAAAATGTTCCCAGCCTTTGGATTTGGAGCAAGGATACCCCCAGAATACAAAGTAGGTGCATGAATGACATTTTCTAGTTTCCTTAGTTTATGAGGCACGAAATAAGGAGGGAATGGTTCAGTGCAGGTCAGGGGCTAGGGGGAGCGGTTCCTACTGCTTGTTTTCTTTCATCTGGCTTTCTCGCCCAGTGATATCTCACTAAAACCAGAAATCAAGGCTAGACTTAAAATATTGTGTTACATCCAAAATATTTCATGGTATGGGCAAAGCTTTGTTATTGGATGCTAGTCTAGTAAGAGGAGAACTAATTTTTTTACCAACAATTGCCAAGCATATTTTGAAGCTTTGAGAGCCCTGGTTTGACAGAACCCATTTTTGGAAGATGTGGTTCAGTGAGTGGCCTAGTGTCCATGCCTTATGATGAAGAGATTTAACATCTTCCTGAAAATGAAGATGTTAGAAGAGTTTTGCTTTGTGGCAAATTGTTGTGTCATGATGGACATTGTCAATACCAAGAAGAGAAATACAAGAGCATGTATCCATGCTGGAGAGAAGCGTTATACATAAACAAAACAAAATGAGAGTGATCCACAGCGATGGTGCAACTGTAAGTGTAAATATGCAGTCTGGTAAGGCTGGAGTGAAGACAGTGGAGTAAAAGAAGAAGCATCCAACAGAGAAAGGCCTAAGAAGAAATAAGCAGTAGTTCAAATTGTGTGGTGCACATGCAGAGGTAGTGAGGGTAGAAGAGTAGTTCTTCACAAATAAGTAATCAAAAACTAGCTGAGGATTCTGCGACTCAATATTATCTAGAAAAGAACAGCATTAGACTTCTGATCATGCAGACTTCATCCAGTGTCCCCATTGTCCCCTGCTCTGGGTTGTGTCTCAGCTGTGGCTGGGGTAGGAAGGCGAACACTGGTCAGGTGAGAATTTCTGTGCAGAGAGGTATTGTGTGTCACTCAGCATTGTAAAGCATGAATCAGCAGGTGAAAAAAAAGTACCAGTGTGTTCCTCATCACTTGTAGGTTTGATACCTGCATAATAACAGTAGTAATGTACAGCAAATTTGATACACGTCTTGCAAACAGGTGGGTGTCTAAGGTAAGTCAATATGTGTCTTAATAACATTGCCTTCTAAGATAAAAAGCACTGTTATAAAAAAGAGGACTGTGCCTGATAAGGTTTTTGCAGTGCTTTGTCTCTGAAAAAAAAACCACCAGTGTTAATGCTTCCCAAAATCAGAGACAGCTTCCAGAGCTTTGATACAGATTTTAATGTGGTAAAGGTTGTATATCTGTTCCAACAGCAGCAGCTGACAACCACCTCTGCTACGTAAGGGGGAGTGTTGTGGAGAATAAACACGAGCAGCTCCTACCACCAGACACATCAGTGAAACACAGTAGCTACTTCTCAAATGTCCATCCCTTTGCCATGAATACGTGCCTCGCTACCCATAGCTGTAGAGCAGTGTTGACTGGGCAATGCACATCACAACCGGATTGCTCTTTCAAGCCCAGTACTGGCCATCACTGACAGTGCCATGTACTATTGTGATTGTCCTAAACAAAGGTGCCACCCTGGTGGTGTGCCAGGGGCTGGTTGCTCCATCATCCGTGAGGTGACTATCATTGCGTGGGAGGGAACTAGCAATTTTTTCAGCTGCAGAGAGCCATCCTTATCTAAAGACTGCTTGAAAGAAGATGTTACTGTGTCAGCTGAGGTTATTTTCCTGGTTTGCTGGTGATGGCAGCAGAGTAAAATTCACAGGACAAGACTGCTTCTTAGCCAAAATAATCAGTTGGTGGCATCAATGCCTCAGGTCACGTGAGCATATTGGCAACATACCAGTTTTGTTAGTCCCCAATAACAGCCTCTTTATCTGATTGTGAAAGCTTATCTCAGGTGTCATCTGAGAAACACATGTCTTGCCAGAAAGTGATTTCAGGGGCACTTTGCAACGAGATATTCCTACAATCACCAACACCAATTGATCTTCTGCTTTTGCAGAACTGGTGTTTGGCTAGTTTCCTGACAAGTACTCTCAAGAAAGTCAGAGACTTGCATTGAACTTAGTAGTCCGTGCATGGGCTACTATGCATGGATGCATAGTTTTGCCCAATAGCATGAGCTGCCCTGAAGAGTCTGTACGTTACTAACTTCTCAAAGAAAGAAAACGATGAATCAGGATCTTCAGATTTTGAGAAGTTCAGGAAAGGTAAGGGTAAACTTAAGAAGATGGGGCTGCTTGCACACACACTTATATGTGAGTAAACAAAACGAGTCCCAAAGCAAATGGAGTTGTAAGTGAGGGCCAGAACAAAATCTTTCATCTCCACTGTGGAAAATTGTGACAGAAAATGACAGAAAAAATGACATGACGTCAGCTTACAAACGTAATAAAACTCTGAAGAAGAGAAGAAACACATTGTGGGGGACTAGCCCTTCTGTGCAACAGATGGGGACAAATAATTAGCTTGGTGTCTATCACGTGCACATCCAAATGAAACTAGATCACGTGCACATCCAAATGAAACTCATGAAAATGAGGTATTGTTCAGTCCCTCCCTGTGATATTCTACACAGTCCATACAACTCTCTGGTTTCTTAAAATAAACTGTATCAACAATTTTGATTCCTTTCTTAGCTTTGAGTGCACTTCTAAATTGAGAGATACACCCTCCAAGAGAGTAAAGAGTCAGCGTCATTATGATGCGTTAATAAGTCAAGACCAATAAACCTGAAAATACTTCAGTAATTTAGTCTACACTGGTGTCATAAAGTTAATTTAAAGCCAACAATCATTAGTGTTTGATGTGGAACATAGCCAAGATGCATAGGAAACAGAGAAAAAACTGATATAATTAAAAATAACAAGGACTGTAGAAAAAAGTGCTCCTAACTTGTCTCCCCTAACTTCTCACCTTCTGCTGCAAAAATATAGTAACACTATAGACACCACAGCAACACTACAGATCTCATGTTATTCAAATGTTCTTTTGATATTTTCAGTCAAAGGTATTACAGCTTTCATTAAAAGCCTTAATGAAAGCTGACCAACCCTTGGATAGCAGTATGTCATGGTTTAGGCCCACCCAGCTCGCAATTAAACACTATGGAGCAGCTTGGTCACTCCTACCTCTGCCCCCACCTTGATGGGATGTAGAGGAGAAAATATAACCAAAAGGCTTGAGGATCAAGACAAGTACAGGAAGGGCTTACTCACCAGTTATGGTCACGGGCAAAACCAGACTCAACTCTGGGAAACTGCATCAATTTAATTTAAACACCACCACCACCGATTTACCAAGCTGATCAGAGTAGGGTAATAATAAAATCAACCACATCTTAAAAACACCTTCCCCCCACCCCTCCCTTCTTCCCAGGCTCAACTTCACTCCCAGTTTCTCTGCCTCCTCCTCCCCAGCAGCACAGGGGGGCAGGGAATGGGGGTTTCAGTCAGTTTTTCACGCATTGTCTCTGCCACTCCTTCATCCTTAGGGAGAGGGGCCCTCGCAGTCTTCCTCTGCTCCAGCGTGGCATCTCTCCCATGGGAGACAGTTCTTCATGAACTTCTCCAATGTGAGTCCTTCCCACAGGGCTGCAGCTCTTCCCAAATTGTCCCAGCACAGGTCCCTCCCGGGGCTGCCGCCCTCCCAGCCAAGGGCTGCTCCAGCATTGGAGTCACGGCCTGCTCCGGGCCCGGTCCCTGCTCCAGCCCAGGGCCCTCCGTGGGCTGCAGGTGGGCATCTGCACCACCGCTGATCTCCATGAGCTGCAGGGGCTCAGCTGCCATCTCACCACAGGCTGCAGGGGAATCCCTGCCCTGGCGTACCACATGGTTGTTTCTCTCATGTCCCACTCTGCTTCAAAAACTTACCCAGCAGAGGTTTTTTTCCCCTCTTAAATATGTTGTCGCAGAGGTGCTGATTGGCTTGGCCTTGGCCAGAGGCAGATCCAAATTGGACCCAGGGGACCTTCTCAAAGCCTCTTACAGAGGCACCTCTTTAGCCCCTTCACTGCTACCAAAACCCCACCAGACACCAAGCCAACACACAGTGACACAGAGAAGGAAGACCAGAGCTAAGCAGCCTGTAAAAACAGCAGGCAAAGTACACTTACCTGCGGATCGAACGGATTCAGGTCTAATTTATGTCATGCTTGGTTACAAGCTGTAATAAAACGAGGCCTGTAACTCACTATTCAGCATGAATCAATGCTAACATTGCTATTTAAGATAAGCTGAAAGCCACTGCTTTCAGGCTGGCCATAAGCTCTAAATTTTTTTTGCCAAGGTTTCATTGGTACACTAGATCACATGGGAGAAAGGTGTCCGGTTTTGCTTTGTTGTCAAACCAGTGCCTTGGTTTCATACTGTCGAGCTCCTGCCAGGAGCCTGGGATGGGTGCTGGAGGGCAGTATCCACCCGTCCATTTAGTGAGATTCTAGCCTCCTCACAACCTTTTATGTGCTACAAGAAACACAGTTTGCTATGCCAACTATTGTTCTCCCTGGAAAAATACCCTGCCCCATTTTACACTAGCACTTCAGAACAATGTCAGTATCTGCAGGGTCTTCATGAATCTCTTGAGGTTGAGCCACTTTAAATCACGTTTTTATATATGCTTTCTAAAGAATTTCCATTTCAAGAGCACACCACTATGTTACGCTGACTTTGTTTTCCCTCATTTCAGCTCCAAATGAAACACTTCAGCTGTTAACAGAAAAACAGCAGATTCTTAGTGACATAAGGAATCTGTGGGAGTGAAGGAAGCAAGACATGCCATATATAACATTCCTCATCAGTCTAGAGATCTTTCATCTAATATTCAGCAATATGATCTTTTTTCCTCAAGGCCTGACAAATACATCACCCTGCTCCTTGATCTAACTAAACCTCTGAGAGCAATATTCCCCTCTTGAGTTTCTATCACACAAAACTTGCAGAACATGCTGGTTATTCCACAGCAGTGTCTCCAACCCATCACTTTTCTTTTTGCAATGAGAAGTATGAGAAGTCTGATGTAAAGTGAAGTGCTGGCAGATAATAA